TTGCGGTCAATAACATTTATGTTATTATCGTCTGATTGAACAATCCTTAACCATATCAGCGCAAGCTTAATATTGCGATTTTGTCCGGTACACATGTGTAAATATATAACTCGATCATTTTTGAATTGTTTTAATTGTTCTAAAGACCATTGTTATTAACAGTCCGATACGATTGATTCTAAAGCCAAAAGTAATTAAGTAATTTTAAATATGTAAGTCATCACAATAATAATCTTAAAATAAATTAGATTTTTATACTAAATTGAGACTTTCTATCAACATAATACATATCTACAAAATTTAAAATCATTTCTTGAATGATTGCTGCAGTTGGGACTTAAACAACTAGTCATATTTTCGAAATTAAAAGAAAACTCAATAGCACCATATTACAAAATACATGAGGAAGGTCAGAAATTGGGCTCCACAATGGCGGACGAGTCTGCTGTATTTTTATAGTGCTATAACCAGCGATATGACGTCACAACCATTCCCGCGCGTTTAGAGTCGTTTCAAATGAATAGCTTGCGGTCACAACTTTAATTGTTTATTGGAACTTAAATATTGCGATTTGAGGGGAGATATTTGGTATGCGCGATTTCTATAGATAGACACATATATTAAAGAAATTAAAAAAAATGTTCAAGTTCCCCATTGTTTTGCATGGAAGATCTGATTTTGATTTGTTGATCATGATATATAGGGTTGTCTATATTTAACTGGGAAATCCGAATCACGTGGTTTGTCAGCTGTCAATCGTTTCGGGTAGGCAACCAAACATTAGCTTTCATAGGATTTCGATATAATTTTGTGTTTTTTTGTTAGAAAACTAACTGCTAGCCGATTAAAGAACTTTTCAGTTTCAAGACGCGATATAAATCAATCTTTACAGTGCGTATTTCAAGAATAAATAATTAGAGAAATATTGCATTTATTTATTTATTAAGTTGTTATTAGCAAATCAAACAAAAAATAACTCTATTAAAAAAATAACTATTGCAATTTAATATACATATTCCTAATCTAAACTTAGTCTCTGACTTGAAACATAGTATATCTACGACATTTATTAGATTCCGCGGATAAAAGCGCCTATTTCTTGGCTTCTTCAATTTGTTGCGCCAACTCTAAAGCTCTGAAGTTTAACAGTCTCATTTCATTTTTGGCAGAGGCTAGATCTACAGCTAGATTACATACTTCCTTGAATTGCACAGACATTTTTTTTTCAAGTTCAAAGATTTCGCTTCTCTTCTCCTGCAGGGTGACCTGGGAAAAGTGGACTTTGGTGGCCCTTCAGCCAGTTGCAATTGCAGTTCTTCCATGCGGTCTCCATCACGGCCAGTTCATCAATTGAGGATTCACCCGCGAATTTTAATGCGCATTCCTTTTGTTGCAAATCAGTTTCCCATGATTCCCTTAACCGGTTGTTTTCTTTATGCAAAGCCAGGATCGTTCTTTCCTGC